TGAAAAAAATCCATAAAAGTTAAGTATGTTTTTCTATCAAATAAAGTTTCTGTGCTTTTGGTGCAAAAAAAAAAAATAGGAAGAACTTTAAACAAAATTGGAGATTTTATATCTTGTGTATTTCTTAATGGATTGCCTTGAAATATGGTATGTGAAGTAAGGGTCCAGTAGAGCACATCCACTGAAAATATGTGGTAGTTTGGATTATCACATTCTGAGCTACAGAAAGTGGTAAATAGCCAAACTATCACTCCTGTTAGTAACACACAGTGTGTCCTGCAGATTGTTTAGGCCACATGACACACTACCATATTTCTTGATAACAAAAGCAAAAATACTTGTTCCCAGTAATGGGAAAACTTAAGTTAATCTAGTATCCATCCCTAGTGGCAGGAAAAGTTGAAGTTAATCTATTAATTTAAATTATTTCATGGACTTTAAAAAGCTTAAGTGTGTTGCATTCTGAGCTTCTTATACTGCCCACTACAAAAAGTAATTGTTCAGCATTTCAGTCATACTAAGAGATGCTCAGCAATAATGTACAGTAAATTTACATTTTTATTTTTTTAAGTTACATCAGATTTTGAAATGTGAATGATAGCATGATTAATTCCTGACAATTTATTGTAGAATATCCTGTTTGTGAAATAAAATTTGGCATCAACATTATTCATGTCTGTTTTCCTGTCATTTTGAAAGTGAATGTTGAGATTTGCTTGCATGCACAGCTTTTCAAATGCAGCCTCGGAAGCAGCCGTAAATGAGAGACAGACATAGGCCGTATTAAGTTAATTAGTTGACTATTTGATAAGTATGAGGGTTTTTGTAACCTATGAGTGTGTTTCTTTCTTTCTTCCTTCATGAATTAGTTACCCAAAACCATTGTTGCTTTAAACGAATGTCTATCGGCATGTGACTAAGAGTTAAGTTCCAAGACAAACTGTTGCCCATGTTTATTGTTTATATGTTTTTCCAGTGACCATATTAAGTATTTTCCTACTAACCTAGTTCATGAAATAGGGAATTTTTTTGTTGGTTTGTTTAAGAACGTATTCATAGTCCTATAGTGTAAGAACCTTGATTTCCACTTAAAAGGTGTTTGTTATCTATTTTTTTTTTCTACTTCACTTGGAACTGGTTTTCTGTTCTCATGAAAAGGTATCCATAATCTCACAACTGCTTTGATTTTTACCTTAAAGTAGTTATTTTCTCATTTTTACCAACATTTGAGTCTGGTTATTTCTTGAACTTAAAAAACAAATGCTTTTACCTATTAATAATCTCATTACATTAAAACATTGTTTTCTACCTAGAAGTGGTTATCTGTTGATTGTTTGAGCTTGATTGTGTATTAACATGAAATAATTAATTTTTGGCTGTTCTTTATCAACCAGCGTTTAATTCTTGCCATCTGTTAACACGAAAGTTAATGTCATCTACTTACAATTTGTCAATGCTATATTCTAAATATTTTATTCTTTTTCTGTTAATTTGTTCAGATTACAGTGTTATTTCAGTCTGCTTATGTAACACCCAATTATGTAGCTGATTTTACTTATTTACAGGTAAATCATCATTTGGATGTATTTTCCTTGAATGGAAATCATCTTAGTGAGACTGAAGTGGGAACTGTGCTTAGAGACATCACTGTCTGTGGAGACTATATAATTACGGGTAGTGAAGATGGAACTCTTACTGTCTATGAAACATTTGGGTAAATATCTAACTCATAAAGTTTCTAATCTGAATATGTGTCTACACATGTATTAATACCTGAATGTAATTATAATCCAATAACTTGCTTGCTGTAACAATTTTAGCCTTTCTTTAGAACACCTCTTTCAGGCTACTTTTAGCTAATAAGCAACTTTTATTTATGAAAATACTGTGTTGATGATTGGAGTCATATTAACAATGGAAACTTCCCCAATCCAAAAATCCAACCGTGTTGTAATAGGTTGTAAACATTTCATCTTGTAATTTGAAACATTCTCTCTATTATTTTCTAAATATAATTACTACCACTGGTATAAAAATGCTAGAAATCACAGATGAGGCATACATTGTATTGCTCTTATGAACTTAATTAGAGTGAGAAAACATTATAACATGGTTTTATTAATGGGAATGTTGGTAGCTACACACTTAATCATTGTAAGAAATTATTTAATGATGTTATCTTAATCAAAGTTAACAATTAAAACCCTAGAAAATAACTGTTTACAGACTATCATGAAGGGCAAGGCATGGCCTGGCTGTGGATCAAAAGGTCCAAAGTTCAAACTTGAATTTCCCCACAGAACATTCCACACTTTCAACTGTAAATGTGTTATTGATGAAAGTGATGTCAGTCCCACTACTTAGATAAGAATATCCATGTAGGCATTCCACTTGTTAGCAGTTCTAAAACTTGAGCTGGCTGTTTTAACGTATGTGTCATATAAGATACAGTGCAAGTTCAGTTACCAAATATTATTATCATGATCAACATAGTACAAATATTTTATCATGAATCAAAGCATCTTTTCTTTCATGATCACTCCATGAATCTTTTTCTTCTCTTCAAAGTTTTTCATTTCTGCAAAATGCAGAGAAAAACTTTAGGCTTACATGTCATTGACAAAAATGAAATGCTACTTGTTTTCTTTTTCCTTTTTTAATTCATTCTGTCAACTGTAAATCAGTAATTGGCAAAATACTTAGTATAAGGTGTTGAGTAATAATTAGTATAGCATTTTCTTCCAAAGAGTGATCATTGCAAAATAACTAAAAACTTCTGCAGTATACTTTTATACATCAGATTTCTCTACATGTATTTTTGTAAATCACATATGATTCAAGGACTTTGTGAAAAAAATAAAATTTTATGATTTGACAAAGAGCTAAAAAGTTTTTCAACAAGGATTTGCTTGTTTAAAATACAACCTAAAATAACAGTATCACAAAAATTATGAAAAACATGTTTAATAAATATTTTGAAGCATTCTCATCCTATCTTCAGCATTTTTTTCTACAGGATTGAAAAAATAGAAGAAATCAATGTAGTAATTAAAGCTTACACATGAAATATTAAAATGTTTATAAAAGATGATACATGATTGAAAATAAATATGAAACGAACTAGAACAAGTTTAGTTCAACAGAAGTACAAACTTTTTTTAAGTTTGAAAGATTCTATTTAGTTAGGAGACTTTTTTATACATAATTCCTTGTCTGTGTTGTTAGAATTTGAAAGTCAGCTAAAGATGTTTTATGATAAGTGGTTTAATTCTCTGTGTGAATAATTTAGGTAGATGATAACTTTTATCCTTTTCTAGGTGAAATTTCCATGTATTCACAGATAAATACAATTACGTGACATTTAATTTCATTGATTTAAGTAGACTTGTACCTTCCATGCATCAAAGAGAAAACAATCCATGAACAAGTTGGAATATGATAGTTATAATGCATAAAATACTTCATGAAAAATGAAGGCTTAAAGATAAACATAATTGAATTTGGGTGTAGTATTTGTGTAGTTGTAGTCAGTTGATTTTTCAAAACCAAGCTTTGTTTGTCTTATTAAGGAAAGCTTAAGTATACAGAACATTTAGGAACAGTAATACATTTGGTTGTGGGCTTAATTTTCTTATGTAAAAAGGTGCAAGTTATAGGTTTTAGAAATTATTATGAACCATGTTAGTAGGTAATAATAGAGTTTGCTCAGCAAATAAAAAACATTATAATAGAACATATGGACAAAAACCATCTTAAAAAGCAGACTTGTTTTTGAAACAACCCTCAATACCTTCTCTCTCAATGACTAAGGCTGCTAAAATATTGATAATAGCAAAAGAGTTGATTTTCCAATTGTTAAACAAAATTCAGAATTCATCCATTTGTTCTTCATATTATTACTGTTCTTGTTGCACAAACCTACAGACAAAATGGCTACAAATGTTTTATTCAAACCTGGGCAAACCTACTAAAAAAACTTCTGCACAGGTCATAGGACTATTTTTATGTTGATTCTTGAAAGAAAGGGAGAAATTTTATCAGTTTTTTTTCATTGCTACTGGCCAGGTTTCTCTTTGAAGCCATTCAAGCACCAAAGCCTGCAGCAAAAATGGCTAGGTATACTGCATCAAAATCTATGCACTGCTACTAAATAAACTCATACAATAGTTTAGGGCTATTTTTAAGTTGATTCTTGCAAGTTGAGATTTCCACCCTCTAAAAATTTCTGAGTTTATCTTCACTGCTAACATAAGGTCTTCGAAGCATTCAAGCATCACAGAAATGTAGAAGCCATTCAAGCACTGTTATACTATTTATGTATGAGGTTAGGTACATAGAGTTCTAAATGAATCAGATGGCTATGTGGGGTGTCTCAGTGGCTCTGAGGTTAAACCTGTTCCACAACACACTCATAATATCCACCAAACATCTCTGGTTCAAAAAACACTTTGAGATGAATGGTCTGATCAAAAATGACAAACCGATTAACTTATCTAATAAGAGACACTAAATCGAGTGACATCTCCTATGCCTGTGTATCAGGGGGCAAGTATTAAAAACTCAGTGATATTGTCACCAGGTTTCGATTCAACACGGTGACGATACTAGTATTTTAAGTGTCTATAAACAAATGAAGAATTTCAAACAAAGAACTTTAACATATAAACACTGGTGTCTGAGGGATGACATCTATTCCCCAACTACCTTTCCCCTTGCAATGCATAGTACTACCCATACCCACTCTTCCCTTACAGACATGGAGTTTAAAATGTTTCCAATCACACACACACACGGCATAATTGTTGTGCTATATTATTACAATTCTTAATGCAAAGCACAATTTGACAGTGAATATGTCTTGGGATCTTTCAATTGAACTAATTCCTTCAGGTTATAATAGTTTTGAAAGTACAGTGAGGTTTAACAGTGAATGTATTTTATGTGTTACTAGAACTGTATGTAAGTTTTGAATGTACAGCAGGATGTGACGGTGAATATATTTTGAAATGTCCTACTAGAATTAATTCGTTCAAATTATCACAATTTTGAAAGTATAGTGGGGTTTGACAATAAGAATGTTTTGTGATGTTGTAGCAGATGTCATTCAAATTATCATAGTTTTGTAATTATAGTGATATTTGAGAGTAAATGTGTTTTGGAAAGTTTTTACAAGAACTAATTCATTCAGATTAGCAGTTTTGAAAGTAAAGTGAGGTTTGACACTGAATGTGTTTTGGGAAATTTTACTTGAACCAACTTCTTCAGGTTATCACAGTTTTGAAAGTATTGTGGGGTTTGACAGTGAATATGTTTTGGAATGTTTTACATAACTTACTTTTTCAGGTTATTACAAGTTTGAAAGTATAGTGGGGTTTGACAGTGAATA